ATATATATATATATATAGCTGAAAGATACTCTATTACTCTTCTTCTCTCCCTACAGTATCTCAATAATGCTTCAAGTCTCTACAAGCTAACTGTAGTATTGTGAATGTGAAAATTGGCTAAACATGCAAAATCCCTGGTGCAGTCCTTTAACTGAGTGTATGTGGGTGAAGTATTGTGCATCAAGCCAAACAGAATACATCTTTACTGTACTGTATGTACACAACATGGAGATGTGGTTTTACACAGTCTAAATGACTGAGGGCTAGGCACTCCGTTTGTGTGTGTTTAAAGTGAATGTTACATTTGTAGAGATGTAGGCTGTACTCTGCTCCGCCATGTGGAACGCCATGGTGTCAGAGGACTGACAGGGATGGAGGAGCAGCTGGGGAATGAATAAAACTGTATGTGTCATCAGGTATTAGTTTAAGCTTTGCTGCTACCCTGTAAGGCTTTGAATGTATGTCTCTTAATCCAGCACCAGCTACTGACAGACACTCAGACACACACGCCCTAAAATGTAGGGCTGAGAATCTGTCTGGCCAATCTACTGAAAGTTGTCTTGTTTGCCTGCACAGTCTATTGTTGTTTTTGTTGGTAAACTGCAGTACATGTATACCAAATGAAAATACTGTAGTAAGGTGCTGGTCCACTGTGAGCCCACAGAACAGCTTCACTGCTGCTCAGTGTCAAGACTGAGGTCAGATTTCACTTTAACAAACCAAAGGATTCTGTACCCCAACTATTTACCAGCACAGACAGAACAGAACTATAGAATACTTCAAACAGGAGCTAAATAAAATACAGGGAACCACACCAAGCCCTCTCCACTAAGGACAAATAACATTGTGTATCAGTTACCTTCCAAATTTTTGTTCAACCTTGTGCTCCTGTCAGTGTTATCTAAAGCCTGTATTCTGCTGTGCCACCACCATGGCTATTGAAAAACATAATTCACATTTGACATTGTAACTCTGTCATATTTTTAGTTATAGTAATTTATGTTGGTTGGTTTGCAATTTCACATTCTTTCCTTTTAACAGATAAAATTAAACCCACTCTCATGAACAGAATTGCCACCTACAAGCACATATGTTTGAACATAACCTGGTTGTTCAACAGCAACACAGTTTAATATCAGTTACAGACCAAGTTTTCCAAGAGTTCATCCTCCAGTCTGCCACACACACACACACACACACACACACACACACACACACACACACACACACACACAAAAAAACCCATGTCCACACACACACACACACATACAAACACACAAAAACACCTGCATGTGTTCATCAACAGGACAGACTGGTTACTTAAAGAAAAGGTGGCTGTCACACCCCTAATGCTCCCAGAGCAGATGGATTTAACATTTTGATAGATGTAGACGTTTTGTCCCGAATGTTTTGCTAGAGAAAAGATCACTAAAACAGTGAGGAAGGCAGGAAACCACAGTCCCATACAATTGGGGTCCAATTTCTGTAGCTTCTAAACAAGGCTAAATACATCCTGAAAGTCAGGCTGTACTCAATACACACACAAAAATGATACCTCTCCTTTTACTGTCACTGCAAATAATAACACAGAAGAAGAGAAGCTGAAATCTGCAAGAATATAATTATATCACAGTCTGGGCATGCCATGATCCGGTAGTATGACTGATGTCACATTTCCAATTTCCATTTGTTCATTGTATCCTGTTTTACAGTATGGCAGTATCTTTCCCAGCCTAATCCCAACCCCCAACCCACACATAGGATAAAACATGACACATCCTAACACACTGAATAAACAGTAATCAGGACCAATTGAAAAAGTCTTGAAACTCTCAGGGCATTGTTCCTGCCCACCAAAGTCCACTGGTCAAGAAACAGTACATTTCTGATGGGTCAAGAAATGCCAGGCCGAAGATCATTAATGAAGGTCTTTGACTAACCACAAACAAGACTTAAGGCCAGTACACAATGTGTGCTGAATGTGGTAAGATGATGAAAGGAGTGAGGCTGGTAAAACATGCCCAAAGCCTAAACCAATTTAGTACTCATACTGCGCTGACAAAACCACCCAGAGAAATCTCAAATCCCTGGAAAATTTCACTTTTGCTACCCACTTGTAGCAAAAGGCACACGGGTACGTATCACTGATGGGCAGAGATGAGACTCCATATAAACAAAATACACATTTATTTATAAAACGCCACACGCACAAGGGTCTCAGCCAGGGTTAATTACAGCCCTGGCAAACAGCGCAGACCAAACAATCAAAAAGTGACAAATACTCAAAAGTGCCATATGTTACAAAAGAGAAATGCAAATCAGGAAAAGTCAACCCTGACCCAACCCCCTGTAAAATGATTGTCTGGGTAAACAAACAACAATACACACACACACACACACACACACACACACACACACACACACACACACACACACACACACACCACATGACACACACACACACAACTTGAAGAGCTGGAACACCCACAAGAACCAGAACCCACAAAGAGCCAGGACAGGGGCCTCCAAAGAAGGATAACTGGCGTCAGGGGGGAAACTGCCCACTACAGATAGCCGCCTGTATCAATCATACCAGAAGGTGAGGCAAAGCAAAGAGGAAGAGCATTATAGCTAAAACATGGCAAAAAGCCAAATGTCAGCTTGCTGACAAAACAACTAAGTTTAACACAACACTGCCTTTTAGCAAAACCTCGCTGCACTTAACTCTATATAGCGAACCAGCCATGCTACAAAGAATTAAAACCCATTAGCATCCCCCATAACACCCAGTATAACCAGGAAATGAGCAGCAGCAAAGATGCATGTCTTACAATCCTTTATGGAATACAGGACACACAATGACTTGGCCCCACCAACCTGTGAAAACATGAATAGAATGCTCACAAGGCCACTTCTCACCCAGTAATCAGCACAGGTGAGCCAGCAGCTCTATCACAAAGATAACTGAATAGGCAGAAGGAGGGAGAAACCCCACTCTGCCACGTACATTTATCCAGACTGTTAAACTGCATTACAGCCATACCTGGAAACAAAAGTC